GGGTTCAAAACAAAAACTTACACAACTGTCAGAATTATTTATTACCATCAACGAAACTTGTATTGAGCATGTCCATTCTTTCAAATTACTTGGAATTGACTTTGATGAAAATTTAAGCTGGGGAGATCATGTTGATCGTATATGTAAAATTATCTCATCTAAAATATCACTTTTGTATAAAATTAAAGAATATTTGCCTATATTTTCTTGAAAATGCTATGCTAGTCGAATAATTTGTTTTCTTTCTTTTATGGTTAGAATATGAAAACTTAATCAAAACTTTATCAATTATTGCCATTTGTATGTTTGAATGATTGAATTGTGTTTATACTAGTAATATACATGTATTTTGTTTGAGGGCCTCAATGAAAATTAGACTAGTTCTAATTGAGTTACCCTCTTTAAATAAAGAATTTATTATTATTATTACCTATATAATTTACATTTCCCTTCGTTATACCAGAAGTCCAGTACCTATGGACTTCTCAGGTTTATACTTATTATTCCCAGTTACAAATAAAATGAATCACATAATTCATATATAATTTAATGGAAATAAAAGTTCTTCTTCTTCTTCTTCTTCTTCTTCTTCTTCTTCTTCTATGAAAAATAATGTGAGGTCTCAAAAATGCATGAAAAAGCAGTTTCGCACTCAACAATCCAAGACATGAAAGTGTTTGGTGTCGAATGGGTTCGAAACTGGTACGTTATGAGCTATTACGTTTGAGCTAAGCTTGTAAGTTCTAGGTTGTTACAAGGTTCAAAACGTTCAAAAGACGGTGAATCATTTTCACGTGGCGCCAGCACTTCAAAGATGAAAATGTAAACAAGTTTCCAAAATGAAAAATATTACACTACAGACACTTGAAAAGATTACCACCATTCAGTAGAAAATATGATCTTAAGTAGTATGAGGCAGGTGTAAGGTTAGAAAGAAGACGAACTCTATTAACTAGCAATGTAACAGTAAAACAGAAAAACGTCTTAACTTATTTTTTTGAAACATTATAAATATATTGTAATACAATTTTGATTCATATTACTAGGAAAATCATTATATTTTTTTACTTTGAGGAATGACATTTCAAAAATACTCTGAATTACCTGAAAAATTAAAGCGGAATGCTATTAGTCATTGTCTTCATAAAAGCTAGTCCAAATAAAAATATATTATGGTAACAAGTAGTCCAAATGCTTTCGAGACGCGACGGCCATACTTCCATGACGGCCATAGGATGTGTCGGCCATACCGTCACATCGTCCATGGGACATATCGGCCACACATTGTGAGACGTATCGTCCACACTTTAAAAAATTTTTTTTATTGAGGTTATAACATAAAATATAATAATAAAATAAGTATTTATTATTAATATGATTTTGTAGTATTTTTTTCTGTACAAGAGATCTTATTTATTCTTGTAAGAGTTATCTTTGCTTGATCATCATCACTCGTGTTTACAACTTGTTGGGGCCATATTATGTAAGTATATTGATTATTTCTTCATTATCAGTTTTAAACAATTTCTGAAGAATCATTTTAATTGTAATGTGATATAAAGGCATCTTTTTTTATATGAAGTTTAAACTGTAAGAATGTTGACTGTCGCTGTCGATGACGATATATAAATACAAGCACATGTTACAGATCTTTTTATTGCTATATAGGGTAAGACGGGGTATGTTCGGACACTTTCTGGTTTTTGAATATCCAAACGTTCTTCCGACTGTTTATGTTTACCTGGACGCTTTAAATGCCCATATGTGGAATGCAGGGAGGTTTCCCCGTCTAAAAATAGACATACACCTCTTTAACATTGCGTTTTCTGACCAATAACTATACCTTCAAAGTAAAGCGTAGTGCATAGGGTATATTCGGACGGATTTGGGTATGTTCGGACATAACTAAGGGGATATTATTTATGTGTATCAATTACTTTATTTTTTTGACTTTGAGCGTTCCTAATGAAGGTTAATTCAGAAGTGCGCTTTGACGACCCAAAATGTAAATAGCTCAAAATTAGGTAAACACACTTTTTTGTTTAGAAAATATCATTCATAGGTTGCAAATTCTGATATTTATAGACAAAACAAATACTATGACTTGTCAGTTTCTATGTTTGTATTGCTCTTTACTAGTCCTTCTTGTTTTGTTTCTCTTTCTTCTGCTTTTGTTTATTTATTTTGACCTCTTCTCTCTTTAGCTTTCTCAGTTTTTTCTCGTGTTCCTTTTTCTCTTTGTTTTCCATCTCCTTCCGCTTTCTGTCTATTATCTCATGGCTGGTGAGAAGCCTGTGCGAAGTTATAATTTTGCCTGTTTTTGTTTTTTTTAGGAGTTTTGCCTGACGACTTGACAGAAAATATTCTGTCCAGCTCATCGTTCCACGTCCCTGACCATTGAGCAGTATCCCCAACTGTTGCGCCATAATCCAACTCTAAAACAGTATCCATAGTAGACGGAATTGAGGGACTTTCAGTGAGACTAGCAAGTATTTCAGCTGCATCATTGTCCGAAATTGCAGCAGACATGAAAGGATCATCAAGTTCGAGTTATATTTGTCATGATCATCAGACACATAGTTAAATAATTCTGTATTTTTTTTTCTTTCTTATAGTTTAGAGTCATTCCATTTGCTGAACATCTTTCCAAGACGGAGGCTACTGTAGAATTTTCCAATAACATAACAAATTAACCGATATACCTGAAATAACAAGAAATTAAAATATGACATATATTTCTTTACAGTCAAGTAATATTAATACACTGATAATAATGTTAAAAGGCCGTAGTAAGGTGACCTATAGTTGTTAATTTCTGTATCATTTGGTCTCTAATGGAGAGTTGTCTCATTGGGAATCATACCGCAATCATACCACATCTTCTTTTTATATCTATTAATTGATACCTATGGTCCATTTATTGGACAAATGGGTAATGCAAATAACACTTAATATAGATTTAATTCTTATCAGGGAAGGGTCTTAACCAAAATTAAAGTAAAAAAAAAATGTATCTAAAATATGACCGAAAGTACGAAATATGATTCAAAGGAAAAACTAAATTAATAATAAATTTGTAAATACCTGTATTGCAAAGCCTGTGTTGCCATTTATCACAATCCTCACATTGGAGAGCATGTTGTCTTGGTCGGACTTGCTGGTCACATAGCACACAAGGATACGACATGATGAACAGCAATTTTCCAAATGAGTGCCACCGACATTTCTGGCTACTTTTATAAAGCAAGGTCGGTACATCAAAAAGACTGCTCAAACAGCTTGTATTTTTACAGGAATTTCACTACCAAATGTATGTTTGCACTCCGCTTGAACTCAGCTTGGGTTTTGTGTTTTTATAGTGATCTTGAATTGTATTTCCATTACAATTTCTTGACAAAAGCATAATTAATACTTGTGTTCATCAAAGAAGTAATAATAAGCAATCAACAATCTTCTTAAATTTAAAACTTAATCATAACTTGATTACCTTGTTTTATATATTTCAAAACTAAACTTATTGTTTTAATTTTGACAGAAATTAGTCTCCCATTCGGATATAGTCATTCATATTTGTTCATTTTGTTCTGTTTGTTATACGCAAGATATCAAAAAATCATTTAGAAAACAATATGATATTTTAATATTTTATTAGATTAAACACATTCATTTATGATATATATATATAATGAGTAAACAAATGATATAACAAAATTAAACATGATAAATAATATAAAAACAGTAAAGTTTATTTAAAAGTTATAATAACCATCTATAAGTATCAAAATAATTCATATATAACATCTATATATATAAAAAAAAAAAAAAAACGTGGACGATACGTCTTCACAAAGTATGGCCGTTTTTGTCATATGGCCGTTTCATCTTTTCGGGGTATGGCCGTTTCATCCTATGGACGTCATGGCAGTATGGCCGTCACGTCCTGCATCGGTCCAAATAATTATGACGTCTTGAAAGACTATTTTATTTTTTGCTGTTGACGCCTTACATTCAAAGCAAAAAATTAAATAGCCTTTCAAGACCTCATAATTATTTGGACTAGGTAACAAGACACTTCGGCACCAAGACATTTGGGACATTTCAAGACCAAGACAAATCAGTACCTCCTAATATCTCTGTATATTTTCCTGTTATTATGAAAAGAATTGAATGCTCATCATGCTCATAATGTTTTTGTAAATTTGCAAATTTATAGAAAATGAAAGCAAGTGACCATCACATTTTTAGCAAGAATGCTCTTCCTTGGACTGAAGTACAACAGTGCAACCCAATTACGCCAATAATGAATTCTTTGACTTTAAAATTGATCCCATAGATGACTTGCTTATTACTATGAAATACATGTCTAAATAAAAGGAGATGTGGGATAAATGTCAACAAGAAAGCAATCCACCAACACAAAAAATCTAATGGAGACCTGTGGTAGTCAAAATTCAGTTTACAACAATATAGACAAGAGTTTAAATACTAATCAGTATGAATGGTGTGTTAAGCACTAAGTCATCATGAGTCAATCTTGTCTAGTATTCTTTCTTATGAACATGATGAAAGGCACATGATATTATTTAGCCGATTCTTTCAAACATGATCAAGATTTTATACATTTAGATAATGTAAATTCACATGTTTTTGCATGCATTTGTTATTACGATTTTGACCTAGGACAAATAATGTGATTTTTTTGGTGATTTCAGTAAATGATGGATACAAATAATGCTATTGACAATTAAATGCCAGTTTTTATTTTTGCGAAACCAATCCAGTTGCAATTTTCACAAATTTTGTAAAACATCATAAAAACTTCTGAATTTTTAGCTGCGGCTGCTGAGCACTAAATACTTCCAACATTTTTGATAATTCCTGTTATCATTTTATGTATTATATCATGTATATTGACACTTCAGGTATGTCTTTCGTTTAAGTTGACAACTATCAACTATGGGAAATATGAATTGTAATTTCATATTTTACTTTGCAGTATTGAGTACATGTACTTCCAATGACCAAGGGTAAGAGGAAATGATAGACGATTTGCAACATGAACAAAGGAAAACAGGCCACTCTGTTTCAGAGTTGGGGACAGAAAAAGAAGGATATAAGACCAGATAATAAAGGCAGAGGTGATGTTATTGATCTTTGTGAGGGTTTGGATGAAGATGATGATCAGTTATTGGCAGAGGTATGACTTACATTTAAATTATAATTTTACCAACTGTGCAAGACCCTCATGGGTAGTCAAGGTCGTTAAACACCCCCTAGTAGTAGTACGTGGTTAAATCAATATATCAGGGTCCACAATTTTATAGTGTTTCTCATAGATTTCAAAAAGTGCATTTCAAAAGAATACATGGAGAAAGAAAACACAATTAAAAAAGGGAACAGGGTCATGAAAAGTGCACATGGGATATCTTGTTCAAAAGAAAATAATTGGTTCACAAAAAAAAAAATTAAATACATAATGGTACATGTACTATAAAAGACATATATAGGCTCTAAGCATTTGAAAATAAAATTCTGTAATTCAGGGTTCTCACTAAGGTGAGTCCATGAGTCCTGGACTTAAGAAAATCTGTCTGGACTCACCATTTTCAAAACTGGTGAGTCCAAAGATGCATCAAGGTTGAAATATTTTGTATAAACTGAACACACATATCATCATTTTATAGCAAACCTAATAATAGTAACCTTAATTTAATGTCATTTCATTGCTCTATTAGGTCATAAAGACTAAAATAATAAATTATATTGCAATAAAATATCTTTTTCTTGCTGTTGGACTCACCAGTGCCAAAAATGATGAGTCCCTGGACTCACCTTCAAAAATCCTTAGTGAGAACCCTGTAATTGAAGAAAATTAAACAAAGAATTCACCAGAATAAGGTATGATGCTATTGGACATGAATATGCGATAGAATGGTCTGTCAAAAAAGGAGAAGGCACTTTACAATGATATTCTCTCTTAAGGAAATCTTGTAGCTGATCAACATAGATCTTTGTCCAACAGAAAACTATGTGCTGATCAGTAAAAGCACAAAAAACATGCAAATTTCAGTTGTTACTTGTATTCATATTATGTTTGAAACCATAATTTTTAAATAAACTACCTGTCAATAATTTTATCGCAAACCACAAAATTTGCATAGAAAAATATAAATATCTCAGCATATTCTACATTTTTGAGGCTATGGAGAGAAGTCTGCATGACTATAGTGATGATGGTGGACACACAGTGAATGATGGCCTTGAAGGACCATCAGATGTATGTAACATATCAATTGGAGCTGAGAGCTTCCCAGTATCAACACAGGGATTGACACAGATGAACGTACCACCAGGGTTTGACAGAGTTGCAGGAAAGTTATGGATCTATCCCACCAACTACTCCGTAAGAGAATACCAATACAATATAGTTGGTAAGGCCTTGCTAAAGAATACCATGGTTACACTGCCTACAGGTCTAGGAAAGACATTTATAGCTGCCGTTGTGATGTATAATTTTTATCAATGGTATCCCCAAGGAAAAGTTGTCTTTATGGCTCCAACCAAACCATTGGTAGCACAACAGATTGAAGCCTGCTACAATATAATGGGTATACCACAGGAAGATACTGCAGAAATGACAGGTGAATTATAACTTTTTTAATTGTTACTGTGGATTCATTTATTTTCGTGAGTACCAATTTTCAGTTATGGAAAACTTGCATTTTCTAGGATATTTGATTTCATGTTGTTGCCAAAGTCTGCATATAGCCTTATAGAAAATTTGTAATTCGTTGAACTCTTTATTTCTTGGTTCACCTGTAACCACGATATCCACGAAAATTAGTCTCCACTCACAGTAGTCAAGAGACTGTAATCCAGTTGTTGTAGATGGTTGCTGGTTCAGTGGTTGTCATAATTAAATTGTTTCACATTTTGTCACAAACAAGAAAAGCCCCTCAGAAGCTCTAGTTCCTACAGTATATTGACTTAGTGTTTAGTTGTTTTTAAGGGGGTTCATATAAACTGCTAGATAGGGTTGAGTTATTTGTGTCACATCTTCTTTTCTAGGGGTCCTCGATGGCTGAGAGGTCTAAGTAGTTGAACTACTGTATCACTAGCCAGTCAACAAGAGGTTGTGGTTTCCAATCCAGCTCGGGCAGGTGCACTCGACTCCAATCATTAATTGACTAGGATTGTCAGTTTTTCCTTCCGAAGGACAGTGGTTCTCTCCCGGCACTCAGGCTTCCTCCACCAATAAAAACTTACCGCCCTGAAATAGCACAATAGTGTTGAAAGTGGCATTAAACACCAATCAATCAATCTTCTTTTCTGTTATATTCCTACTTCAGGGGTTACATGTATATTGCAATCACCTTGTCCATTTGTTCCTTTAATACATATTTTTGTCACACATTTCTCTGGATCTTCAAAACAGAATGAATGGAGCATGTGCGTGGCAAGACACATGCTACTTCTTGTTATACTTAAATCTGATATTCTTGGTCTGGACATCTCTGGTAAACAATTGGCAAAATACTGAATTACAGAGAAAAAAAGTTAAGTATTTTCCTGTTATTGTGTTCACAGTTTTTTGAATTTACAATCTTATTTGAAAACAACAGAACAAAAGTATATATACATGCATGGAAGGAGACGTGAGCATATTACTTAAAGTAGAAGTAGGGTATGCATCAATGAGACATCAACCAAATGACACAAAATACCAACATCCATGACATCTTAAAACCCCAGAGGTTAACATACAGTCTTCAACAATAGATGGTTGTCTATATACATGTAATATGTCAAGTTCTCAATCACCCCAAGTCTTATAGTTATGAATAAATTGATCAGTTATGTTTCAGTCCTATGATTATAGAGATAATATAAAAATAAGAAGATGTGGTATGATTGCCCATGAGACAACTCTCCACAAGAGACCAAATGACACAGAAATTAACAACTATAGGTCACTGTACGGCTTTCAACAATAAGCAAAGCCCATACCGCATAGTCAGCTATAAAGGCCCCAAAATGACAAATGTAAAACAATTCAAACAAGAAAACAAACGTCCTAATTTATGTACAAAATAATGAACAAAAAACAAGTAAGACCAATCCTGTAATTTACTAGTAAATGAATTTTCTATTAACTCACAATTTAGGCACAATGGCACCTACAGAGAGGAGAAGAGTATGGGTGGAAAAGCGAGTATTCTTTTTGACACCTCAAGTCATCATGAATGATTTAAGCAGAGGAACTTGTCCTGCTGTAGATGTTCGGTGTCTAGTGATTGATGAAGCTCACAAAGCTACAGGCAACCATGCTTATTGTCAGGTAATATATACAGTAAGAGGCAACCATGCTTATTGTAATGTAATATATACAGCAACAAAGCTACAGGCAACCATGCTTATTGTCATGTAATATATACAGCAACAGGCAATCATGGTTATTGCAAGGTAATTTATACAGCTGCAGGCAACCATGCTTATTGTCATGTAATATGTACAGCAATAAAGCTACAGGCAACCATGCTTATTTTCAGGTAATATATGCAGCAACAGGCAACCATGGTTATTGCAAGGTAATTTATACAGCTACAGGCAACCATGCTTATTGTCATGTAATATATACAGCAATAGGCAACCCGGCTCATTGTCATGTAATATATACAGCAACAGGCAACCATGCTTATTGTCATGTAATATATACAGCAACAGGCAACCATGCTTATTGTCATGTAATATATACAGCAATAGGCAACCCGGCTTATTGTCATGTAATATATACAGCAACAGGCAACCATGCTTATTGTAATGTAATATATACAGCAACAGGCAACAATGCTTATTGCCAGGTAAAATATACAGCAACAGGCAACCATACTTATTGTCATGTAATATATACAGCAATAGGCAACCCGGCTTATTGTCATGTAATATATACAGCAACAGGCAACCATAGTTATTGTAATGTAATACAGTGATTTTGCTAGCCCTCGTCATTTTCGTCATTTACGAAACGGTTTTCAAAATGACGAAAGTATTCCAAATCAATTTCGTCACTTAAATTTGGAAAGAGTAAATATATTTTCGCATGAAAATACTATAAATTCTACCTGTCTTATTGTTTCTGACAAGTTTATGACCCTCAGCTAATTAACATTTACAACAGGTGTTATAAGTTGTGATTACAGATAATCCGCTTATCGCCATCGGATGGGTCACTAATCCGTTAATTATTTAATCAACCTCATAATTGATCATCAAAATTATTTTCGTTTCCCCAGTAAAATCAGTCAGTCGGCATTTCAATTTCAATATTTATCAAACGAGAACAATTTGCAGTTCTTTTGTCGTTGTTTCGTCATTTGAGTATTCCCACGGACAGTTCGCATTTTTATTTCAATATTTCTCAAACGATCACAATTTGCAGTTCGCTTGTCGTAGTTTCATCAAATGAACGTATTTTCGTCATATTTGGTATAACTTTTAATCAAAAACTTTGACAATTTCGATTAATAAGATCTAACTTTATTCATAACATTCAGAAATGTTTTCACGAGTCAAACAGGTGCTTCCTTTACGATGAACTGCGCATGCGCGAAAGTATTCTTATGAATTTAAAGACACTAAAACGTAAAATACGAAATATTTAAGTATCAAACTAAACGAGAGAGACAAATATAGTTCTTATTTAGCAAATTTAATTTAAAAAATGATAATTTCCTGCCTTTTTTAAACACAAACCAATCCGTAGATGAATCCGGATTCATTCTGAATTTATTATCCACTTGTCACTTCCCGTTTTCATTTCATTTGGAAATGGAAAGTAAACGTGATCTATTCATGATAAATTTACAATTTAAACATGTTAAAGATTTAGAATTGTTCCAATAAGGATTTGTACAAATCCTTGGTTCCAACTTTATAGAATTAATTCTAAATATCGCTTTAAAACGTTTTCAAGGATAATGAGTATGAATAATGCAGTGAAATAGTCCTTACAAGTTCATTTATGCTGTGATTCCTGGTTTAAAAAAAAATGGATCCCAACTTTTGCTGATTGGGAATGTACCCTGAAACTAACTGAAGTGAAATTGTGAACTAAATTTCTAGATCTTCTATCCTTATCTTCGTATTAAAAGTGCCACATCAGTCAAATCATGCAGTAACTGCCTAGTATGCCAAATCCTTCAAAGTCTGACAAAGATGTATAGATAGTCATATACATCCTAGGTACCTTGCTGCTACCCAAAATAAGGTTGATTTTCATCCCACACAAAAGTGACTAAAGCCCTCAAAATCCTAGCTTAAACCCTGTGTAATATATACAGCAACAGGCAACAACGCTTATTGCCAGGTAATATATACAGCAACAGGCAACCATACTTATTGTCAAGTAATATATACAGCAACAGGCAACCATGGTTATTGTCATGTGATATATACAGCTACAGGCAATCATGCTTATTGTCAAGTAATATATACAGCAACAGGCAACCATAGTTATTGTCATGTAATATATACAGCAACAGGCAACCATGGTTATTGTCATGTAATATATACAGTAACAGGCAATCATGAAGAATTTAATATATCTCCCCTTTACAGTGATGTATTTGAAATCATCTTTTTCTCACAATTTATTAAATGAATTCATTCAAACTTCACTTCTTTTCTTCTTAGTGTAGTTGTGTACCATGCATTAGGTTTTTGTTTCGCCTGCAACAATAGACTAAGGCATAATTATTCTGGCAATAATCAATAATTGTGGAAGTTTGTATTATATTACACAGGTGAGGCATATCTCTGAGCTAAAAGTATATTGCATTTATGATTCCTTAGACAAGATGTGAAATTAAATATTTAAGTAGGACTATTGATATTGCCTGTCTGAAAATGTAGTATGAATGACCTCCAGATTCACTTCGATCTATATTTCATTTTTGTTTTTAATAGGTTGTCAGAGAATTGATTAAGTACACAACAGAATTCCGTATATTGGCTCTAAGTGCAACACCAGGAGGGGATATCAAGGTATTTTTACATAAAGAAATCAAATTTTATCTATAAATATTGGCTATAACAAAATTACAAATAAAAGTCTCTGTGAAAATATTTTTGACAGTTGATATTAGTTTCCAAAAAAAATAATAGCCGATGAAATACAACATTTAAGCTCATTTATTATCTGTAAAAGGAGTAGGTCCGGTAAGGGCCGATTTTGGCCTCAAAATTCAGGTTCATCTGATGAAAGATTTTGGACACTTTTTAAACACTTAAGGATCTACTTCAGTCGATTCAATTAGTTTATGTGAAAGATTTGAACTGATTTAGTTATTAAAGATGCTCAAATTCAAGCTTAAATATGAAAAATCTATCAAATATGCCATAATATGTCACTTTTCAGATGGTTTTTGTCAAAAATGAAAGTGGCCGCATCCGTGTTCATTCTCAACCTTTATATATGTTATGTATTATCATCAAATACAACTTACATTTAAATATCAAGAATGAACACAAATGCTGCCACTTCCATTTCAGACGGAAACCGTCTAAAATTAACCAAAATAAAATTTTGAAGAGTTCAGTAATTTAGCATGACTTAATGATGCTAGTACCTGATACATGTGCAGTGTATTGTCAAAAACAGCCCATATTTATTTATCAGAAGTATTCTTCTTTCCAATAAATAGCTAAAAATTTACATTTTAACGATTTTGTAAAACTGCTATATTTTGGGGCCAAAAAAGGGTCTTACCGGGCCTACTCCTTTGTTGAAAATAGAAATTTATGATCCCATGATCCCATGAACCAATAACTCTTCCAATTTTAACAAAGAATGTGTTGAATGAGAAAGTGTATGTGAGCAGTACTAAAGGGAGAGAATCTAGTTACATCCACACTTCTTTAACTATAGAACTCAACACTAGGAGCATTACATTGAAAGTCATTTACTTTGATTGATTGTTGACCTTAGATATGTAAAAATTCAGATTTAAATTTTAGACACTTTAGAATCGTGAAACTTTTACATAGATGTAAGAAATGTTTCAATTGGAAAGAGCATTTTGTAGTCACTTGATTCATGAATAAAAGCAGTAGTATTTAACTAGTAGGACAGTATTTTGGCTAAATATGCTGTTTTTAAAGAGATTCCCTTGATTTTCACATGACTTTGATTAAATTAAGATAAGTTAAAGAACAAGCAACATTTAAATTGGACACTACATAATTTTAGAACAATTTAATTTTTATTTCCCAGGCCACTGTGACCTGAACAATTACTGTAAATTCAGAAATTATTGTGTGCATTTATTATTGTCATTTTTGAAGAGTGAACAAAAATGCGAGTTTAATTATTGCGATTTTAGGAAAAGTGACATACAGATATATGTATCAGATATCAGAATGTGAGTTCTTACTATTATGATACTCATTGAGTCCCATTATTTGCATTCATAAAAAACCTTGCAATAATTTTTAAACTTACAGTAGTATTATCCATGTAAGTCATTCCATCTTCTATCATTCTGAAAACTAACAGTTGACAGAACTTTATTTTTTTATTCCTGTACATCTAAAGCTGATTTATTTTTCTCAAAACATTTTTTGTTTCTTGGTATAATCAGGTTATTTTTTCCACCAGAAATCCAAAAATTTCTACATCATATTACATATAAATCTGAACTTACTTTTAGGCAGTACAACAGGTGCTTGCTAACCTATTGATATCACACATAGAATTACGCACAGAAGAATCCCCCGACATTAAGCCATATTCTCATGAAAGGAAAGTAGAGAAGATTGTTGTCCCATTGGGAGATGAATTAACAAGTGTCAAGAAAAAGTATGTTCAGGTATGTATAATGGATCACATGAAACCATCAACACTCTTACAATACCTTTCTTCATTTTAAAACATGAAAATTACTGCTAGGATTTCCTGGTTAGTCAATACTTTTCCTTTTTAATGATATTGATACTTACATGATTACTTTCTTTATTTTTAAAAGGATCGTATAATGGAAAAGAATATTTTAAGATATATTATAAGGGAGATAATTCATGATTTTTGCACAAATATGAAATGCACATGTTAGGACATTAACAAGTTCTATGGAAGGTCCTGTAATGTCATGAAGATCTGAAATAATGTTATTTTGAATACACAATTTGTCAGATGTTTTATTTGGGTATAAAATTCTATATATTATTTGGAATGCTGAGATCCAAATAATGTTTTAAATAAATTTTGATGAGTTATCTTAACTGGATACATTTGATATGTCTTCTTGCTCTTCTTTTATATTTATTTTCTTTTTTCTTGAAAGATTTTGGATGTAACAGTGAACAAATTAAAAAGACATGGTGTAATATACAACAGAGATACAACTAGTTTTTCAAAGTTCTTAATTTTAAAAGCAAGGGAAGACTTTAGACAGAATCCACCGCCCAATTTACAGGTAAATATATGTCTTGTAAAAACTGTTTGCCTTTTGTGTTTGATTATTATGCTTCCAAGGAGCCAATAGCCACTGCCTTGTCTCTTCTTCAGTAAAAAAATAATGGTTTTTAAAAATGTGATGATTACAATGCCATGGCATAATTCTGCTGATCATAAAACACACAATTTTCTCTGTAATGGCAGGTATCCTTCAGTTACAGTCTTGAAACATTTAAAAAGCCAATCAAAAACAATGGTTTTTAAAAACAAAATTAACTTTTCTTTGAATACAACCTAAATATTTAAAAAAATATAAAAGAATCTCATCAAAAGAAGGTAAATTTGGCTTACTTTCATCTTAATTGACTTTATAGATTGAATTTTACTTATGAGTTCAGTTGTCTGAAGTGGACTTGCAATCATGTTATTTAGTGTAAGAAGTAAGAATGGGTCTTAGGAAGTAGAACTACCTCCCTTTCAAAGATTGTTTTTTCTTTTTGAAAATAAGTTCTGTAACATGTCTGCAAGTATGATGGCTTTAAATAAAAGTTAGTTAACTTGACCTATATTTTATGCCTCAATACCAGTTTTCATCTGATTCTATTTTAAGCTCACCTAGCCTAAAAGGCCAAGTGAGCTTTTCTCATCACTTTGCGTCCATCGTCTGTCGTCGTCCTTAACTTTTACAAAAATCTTCTCCTCTAAAACTACTGGACCAAATTTAACCAGTCTTGGCCACAATCATCATTGGGGTATCTAGTTTAAAAAATTTGTCGGATGACCCGGCCCACTAACCAAGATGTCCGCCATGGCTAAAAATAGAACATATGGGTAAAATGTAGTTTTTAGAGTACATACAATCTAAGACTCTCTCATCTTGCAAAAGTATTAAAACATTCGACTTTTCTACACTTTACACAAGTATTCCCCATTCCAAACTAAAAGACAAATTGAAAGAGTTGGTATTACTTTGTTTCATTAAAAAGAATGGCGAACGTAGATACAACTATCTTGTCTTGGGGAGAGATAAATCCTACTTTGTAAAGAATCACTCTGATTCTAACAAAAAATTCTCTGAAACTGACATTATCAAGATGCTTGATTTCTTGATTGACAACATATTTGTTACGTTTAGAGGACGTGTTTTTCAACAGACTGTCGGAATTCCAATGGGAACCAATTGTGCCCCTCTTCTTGCCAACTTGTTTCTTTATTATTATGAGGCTGACTTCATACAGGAACTTCTTAGGAAGAAAGATAAGAAGTTAGCAATGTCCTTTAACTTTACATTCCGCTATATAAATGATGTTGTCTCACTAAATAATACAAAATTTGGTGACTATGTTGAACAAATCTATCCCATCGAACTAGAGATAAAGGATACTACAGATACAGTTAAGTCTGCCTCATATCTTGACTTACATCTAGAAATTGACAATGAGGGTCGGTTGAAAACAAAACTTTACGACAAAAGAGATGATTTCAGCTTCCCAATTGTGAACTTTCCATTTCTATGTAGCAACATTCCAGCAGCGCCTCCATACGGAGTATATATCTCCCAATTGATACAATATTCCCAGGCTTGTATTTCCTATCATGATTTCTTTGATAGAAGATTGCTGCTCACAAGGAAGCTATTAAACCAAGAGTTCCAAATGGTGAAGTTAAAATTATCCCTTCGTAAATTTTACGGACGCCATCACGAGTTGGTTGACCGTTATGGAATAACCGTTTCACAGATGATATCGATATGTTCCTTATGTCGTAACTACAACATGTACAATACCTTTCCCTTTTCACGAATGTGACCTACCGAATTAGACTAGTTACCGGATTTGTAATAACATAAGCAACAAGACAGGTGCCACATGTGGAGCAGGATCTGCTTACCCTTCCGGGAGCACCTGAGATCACCCCCAGTTTTTGGTGGGGTTCATGTTGCTTAGTCTTTAGTTTTCTATGTTGTGTCATCTGTACTATTATTTGTCTGTTTGTCTTTTTATTTTTGGCCATGGCGTTGTCAGTTTGTTTTCGATCTATGAGTTTGACTGTCCCTCTGGTATCTTTCGTCCCTCTTTGGCTTATTTCTCTGAAGCATTTAGAGCAAATCTGACAAGGGGTAAAATTGTTCATCTGGTCAAGATCTATCTGCCCTGAAATTTTCAGACAAATAAGACAACCCGTTGTTGGTTGCTGCCAGACCTGGGGTCAATTACATGCCAAAGTAATTAATTACAATGATTTTTAAATGTAATTAATTACATCACAATTACATTGATTTTCAAATGTAATTAATTACATTACAATTACATTGCCAATGTAATTAATTACATTTCAATTACTTTTATCAAAAGAAAAAAATTTGTTTAAAAAAAAAAGATTTTAAATTTATAACTTCATTGTTACATTTAATTGCATTTCTTATTTTTATAGGAAAAACATTTATAAAGATGTATATATATATATATATATATGCATCTTTATAAATGTTTTTCCTATTAAAATATGAAATTCAATCAAATTATCAGCATCGAAAATCGAATGGTGATTAAATGTAACAATGACGTTATAAATTTGAAAACTTTTTTTTTTAAACAAATTTATATAATTCGTCTCAAATTTAGTCCAAAAATGTTAGATCTTCAAATTTGCGTTAGCAATGTAAGAATGTATATATATATAGATAGATCCAGATTAATATATTTTTTATTTATGTTTTTTTCATTTTTACCTATTACCATGAAGACTCTGATATTTAGAGAGAAACATTTTTTTTCCGTTATGCCTTATATGATTTAAATTATAATAGATAAATAAACACTTTAAATCACAAAAATGATCAGCAAGGCAAAATCTATTAAAAAGTCAAATTTTGCCGATATAGTTAGTAGACTGTCACTTTTCGTAGGAGTGATTGCCCTTAAATGAGGATTTTTTTACCCTCTTTTGTGTTTTGAGCAAAAACTAAAGAAAATAGAGAGAAACTAAACAGACTAAAAGATCAGTAATACAAGATCAACAAAATAGAGATTTTTATCATGAAGTCTATTTATGTCTACAATGTTGGAGAGTGTCCTTTGTTTGATATGCACATAGACCAAGGTGAGCAACACAGGCTCTCTAGGGCCTCTAGTTTAGTACATTTTGACTTCAGGTAACTTAACAAATGATATGGTTAATTCCCAATTAAATGTAGTTATTTTAAGTTTTTATTACGGTTTACCAACTTATTTTCACAATTTTGACTTTGTTAATGTTATTATATGAAACGAAATCCAAGTTTGACATTCACGTTATTTTTCTAGTCACAAAATTATCACATAAATGAATTTGCATTTGAAAGTTCTTTGGTTTACAGTAGTCAACCTCTATTTCAGAGAAACAACTATGGTATGGTAGAAGGAGATTTTGCTCTAGCTTTAAGTTTGTACCATGGCTTTGAATTGCTCCAGTTACATGGATCAAGATCATTATTTAACTACCTTGATGGAATATTACATGGAGACAAAGGTTATGGTCGCACCAAAACAGAATTGTTGAGAAATCATGACTTTAATGATTTAATGGATTTGTTAAGAGAAAAGTTTGCACCACCTGACTGCAGGTAATAAATATATTATACAGGAAATACATGTTCATTTTAAATACAATAGCTTATTTGGAATACAGATATCAGGAGCTACTTGATTAGTTTTCAAAAACAAAAGATTTCCTTCCATTTCGGTCAGGAAAAATAAATTCATTTTGGTTTTGTGTTGTTTGATTGCTGTCTCACATTGTCACATTGATGCTTTTATTACACTGCGCTGTGGAAAAAAGCTGCATATTGTGATTTACATATATTTTACCATATCAATACATGTTATAAACAAGAAAAGTTTCACTTTGAAAATGAATATTCTGGTCTGCAGCAAAAAAAGCAGGATATAATTGTATACAAAGCCATGGTAAAAAAGGTACATTTGGGTTTATAGGAAAACCATGTGACCATGAAAATCAATACACAAACCGGAAACAGTAGAATTTCAACACGAATTTGCAGAAAATGTTTACCAAAGAACAAATAAAACACAAAGACAGTATTGAAGTCATTTATTTTCAACAAAAACTTTTTATTTATTGATTTATGTAGGTTTGGCAATCAAAAACGTAGTTTTGACCAGGAAATTCACTCCTGACCACTTTTCTCAAGCTTGAATTTTTCCTCTGGTCGCTAGATCTCGTCTATTAGTCGGCCCCCCTCTCTGGATTATGAATTTTACTCCCAATTTTCCGACTAATAAGCGAGTAGGAACGGTAAGCATGCATAGCAACAGGTGAAATGAATATTCAATCCTCAAAAATCATGCCTGCTCACCTTAAAATATCAAATGGTTGTACCCTTAGATAAATGGGATCATTAAATAAATTTCATCTAGGTAATGTTTTTTTATTTCAATAATATATCACTAATAAAGTGGGGTTATTGGTTATTTTCTTAAGAAATTTTAAATTAGTTGTAATAACAATGTCATTCAAATGTTTAACATAAACGCTGTAATATAACGAATAGACTGGTAATTATATAAGTGAATTATTAGTCTCGCTCTTCGAATTACAGAATTCCTCTTAACAAGCCCCTTCCTTTACTCTAGCAATCTGAAACATAAATTAAGTATCACATGCCTATCTTTTGTGTACATACCATTAAACACGCACCTGCAATCAAGAAAAAATCGATTAAACAAGTACACATTGTTCGTTATAAAATCTGCTGTACAAGAGAACTGTGTAACCTTTACCTTGTCAATCCATAATACTCAAAATAGATATGATGATAGTAAGCCTGTGTTCTTTTGAAACAATTAATCAATGTATTTCTTCGTCAGTGTTCTCCCCAGAAATTTTGAATAGCATCACATTTGTCGTAAAAAAATAAATTGTATTTTTTTCAATGTCATTTGACACGTCGCGGCGATGGTCTATTTCCTTTATGTTATATATGTTTATAATGTTCAATTCATAACTGAGAATACAATTAAACTTTAACCATGATAACAGTTGTTTCAGTTTATGTTTTCTATATTCATTTATAGTTACAGAATTATTTTTTTCCTCTTGGGCCAAATAAAAATATATGTGTGGTTCCAGTTACCCTACCTACTCAACTAAATGAATGAATGAATGAATTAATGGTTTATTATAGTACAACCTGTATATATACAATACTAAATATCTAGCAAAAAAAAAAACTGGTTTTTATATAAAAGTGGAAGAGAAAGTATCATATAGCAATAAAATTTTAATTAAAAAACTTTTTTCTTTATCATGTCTATGAAATTCATTGTTTCATGGTACTCAATGAATTAGTCCCAGTTGTTTCTTTATATCAAAATGATATATATTTTTAACAAAGTTAAGCTACTTCAGTCAGTATATTAAAACGATGTATTTTCAAAAAGAATACATTTAGCAAAGATATCTAATAAATAGTCTGTTAATGCGTGTGGAATGCGTAGTTTTCTCTTTTGTGATCATTTTTTTCTGTCTACTGTGCCATTTGTGCATCTGTAGTTATTATCGTAAAAATGCGGAATTTTGTCATATCTGGTCCGGTTCCGATCCGTAGTTTACACAAATATTTCAATGGCGACGGAAGAAAAATTTACGTAAATAAACAATGCTTGACAAGAAATTGGGAATGAATAGGACGCTTTTAATGCATTAAATGGACGAAACATTTACTAAAGCCAATTATGATCTCTTTCTAAAGAAGTATCAAACTTATTTAACTCAAAATCAAAGTTTAATATACGCTCTCGATTAACTAGTTATACCGGAAATGAAAGAAAGTAATTTTTTAAAAGTTGTAAAAATATACGACCTAACCTCTTTTCTAAAGAGAGAAATCGTTTGTATCTTTGAATTTGGATTATGCAAACGTAGATTTCGAATTGTTTTTCGATTTTCTGATTACATTTTCTCCATGTCGAAATTTGCGATTGGACCACGTGGTATTATATATGTCACAAGTGTCAGCTTGGGGTATTCGTATCCATTCAGTTATCATCCAAAGGGCAATTAACACCTATGTAATCACTCTTAATTGCCTCTGTTGTCCAACTTGAAGGGATTACAATTAAAGGTGATATAATTTTTATGATCACAAGCGGTAATTAGATGAAAGTTCAATATTTAGGACATGGTTTTGCGATTTACACACAAGAAAAATAGCATCCTCAAAATAATTATAGCGTCGCGGAAATTATTATAGCATCACGGGAAAAAATAAAGCATCACGGTGCCGCGACGCTAAAACGGCCTGGGGAGAACACTGTCCGTTATTGACTTGCCTTGACAGAGTCAAAAAGCGAGACATAGGGATGCTGTTTCCGGCATTGGCGGTGTTGGCCTTGTCAACAATGTATTAGTTTGTGATTATGTCAGTTTTGTGGGGAACCACTAGTGGTAGGTCAATCATATTTGGTATGCAGTTGTATTAGCATTGGCACATCTCATTTCCATGGCGGTCATTTGGCCCTGTCCACTCAGTCGTGGTCTATTGACTTTGAAACTTTTGTATAGTTTACATGTATTAGTTTGTGATTAGGTCAGTTTATGGGGAACCACTAGTGGTGTATCAATAATATTTGATGTGCAGTTGTATTAGCATTGGCACATCTCATTTCTATGGAGATTATTTGGCCCCTCCCCCTCAGTCGTGGTCTATTGACTGAAACTTTTGCTAAGTTAACATGTACATGTATTAGTTTGTGATTAGGTCAGTTATTGGGGAACCACTAGTGGTAGTTTTATGATATTTGGTATGCATATGTATTAGCATTGACAAATCTCATTTCCATGGAGATTGTTTGGTCCTGTACCTTTAGTCATGGTTCATTGACTTTGAATATTTGGCATAACTTACATGTTAAAGTATTGCTATTTTAATTTCAATATTTGTATTTTACTATTAAAATAACAAAAAGGCGAGACATATCTCTGTGTTAACTGTTTATTGATTGCCTACTGATAAAGCTATCCTTTGATGTAGATTAAATTAAGGATGATTGGCAAGTGACAATAAGGAAAAAAATCGTACATGTGTGCAGGTGAACTCAAACATGTCCAATTGATACAGAATTTCAGTTTCATAAATCGATTAAAGAAAAAGGTATATACCATCCTTATTTATCGACAGATACAATAATTATTGTATTTTCCTGTTTGAAACTTCATTTTAATTGCAATTTTTAAATGTATACATTAATTGAAACAATTGATTTGCAATTTAAATACCAATGTTACACCAATATTACATTAGACACAAGTTAATGAGTTCTAGATAGTTAAAAAGACGAATTATTAAAGGGTCATTGTTATCTAAGAGTATGAGAGGGATTATAGAAAACGTCTAAAAGGCGCACGAAATGGTAAAAAGTAGAGAAAACATCTAAAGTTAAAACATCTATTTTTTATGAATTATTGGTTATCTTTTAGACAGAGGCCATTTTATTAGATTTATGCCGGTATTTTCGCCAATAAGCGGGTGCATTAACCGTTTAGTTTTTCTAGTGATACTGTAAATTTCAGGCCAAGTCAGAGCAGTAAAAAGCCCCTTGTAACAGGTCATCCTAAGATGGAGAAGTTAGAACAAGTGGTACTTGATCATTTCAATACATTCAATTCAGGTAAAAATTTTTTTAAAGTGATCATACTTTCTTAGTTAATTTAACGACATAAGTTGCAAAGGCAAGACAAAGCAGTCCTACATTTCATAGTAGTCAGTGTCATAAACATTTTCAGTCTGTGGTGAAATTTTTTTGGACATCAATTTCTTTGTAAAACATTTTTGAAATTTGCTTGTAAAGTTGAACCATTTACTGTAAATTCAGAAATTAATGCAAGGTTTTTATAAATGCAAATAATGTGACTTGGTGCCTATCACAACAATAAGAACTGACATGCTGATATTTTATACATATATCTATATGCAGTTTTCCTAATATCGCAATAATTAATCTCACATTTTTGTCCATTCTTCAAAAATCGCAATTATAAATGCACGCAAATAATTTCTGAATTTACAGTATTTAAATTTTCAAGAACATACAAATTTTATATAGGAAGAGATCAGATATCCATGAAAATAAAAATTTAAATCAATGTACAAATACAAAAAAACAAACAAATAAAAACATTACACTAGAATATTCCAAATGAATTGAAGTTGATTTTTGTTGAAATGTAAGGACATGTAATGCTTTAAAAAAAACTATTGTAGGTGATGGTGAGACAAGAGTGATGATTTTCTCCCAGTATCGTGACAGTGTATCAGAAATCACTAATATATTAAAACAACATCATCCCCTGGTTAAAGTGATGAGTTTTATTGGGCAGTCCTCTGCAGGAAAGTCTACCAAAGGATTTACACAGAAAGAACAACTTAAGGTATTGTATTTGTATTGTTGTTTTTATACGACCGCAAAAATTAAAAAATTTTTGGTCGTATATTGTATGACGTTGGTGTCGTCGTCGTCGTCGTCGTCCGAAGACACATTGGTTTTCGCACTCTAACTTTAGTTTAAGTGAATGGATCTCCATGAAATTTTACCATAAGGTTCAATACCACAAAAGGAAGGTTGGGATTGATTTTGGGGGTTATGGTATCAACAGTTAAGGAATTAGGGGCCAAAAAGGGGCCAAAAATAAGCATTTTTGTAACTTCCAGACATAACTTGTGTGTTAGTGTATGGATCTCTCTTGACATTGTACCACAAGGTTCCATATCACAAAGGGAATGCTGGGATTGATTTTGAGGGTAATTGCCGCAAAATTTTAGGAATTAGGGGCCAAAAAAGGGGCAAAAAACAAGCATTTTTCTAGTTTCATGATAATAACTTGTGTGTAAGTATATGGATTTTTCTGAAATTGAACTACAAGGTTCCATATCACAAAGGGAAAGCTGGAATTGAGTTTGGGGGTAATTGCCCAAAACGTTTTGGAATAAGGGGCCAAAAATAGCATTTTTCTAGTTTCCAGATAATAACTTGTGTTCAAGTGTATGGATCTCTCTGAAATTGTACTGCAAGGTACCATACCACAAAGGGAAGGCTGGGATTGATTTTGGGGGTAATTGCCTCAATATTTTAGGAATTAGGGGCCAAAAAGGGGCAAAAAAGAAGCATATTTCTAGTTTCAGGACAATAACTTGTGTGTAAATGTATGGATCTTTATGAAATTGTACTACAAGGTTCCATATCACAAAAGGAAAGCTGGGTTTGAGTTTGGGGGTAATTGCCCTAAACGTTTAGGAATTTGGGGCCAAAAAGGGTCCTAAAAACAAGCATTTTTCTAGTTTCCAGACAATAACTTGTGTTCAAGTGTATGGATCTCTCTGAAATTGTACTGCAAGGTACCATACCACAAAGGGAAGGCTGGGATTGAGTTTGGGGAGATGAACCATAAGGGGGTTCAAAAAATTTAGTGGAGGGATTTTTTTTTTCTTTAAAATTTTCCATTTTAAATTGGTTATTTCTGATTTATATATAAAAGCAAATAATAATGATATGGTTTGAATAGGTAAATTAAAAATTTTTAAGTTCTTAGACCACATTCATTCTGTGTCAGAAACCTATGCTGTGTCAAATATTTAATCACAATCCAAATTCAGTGCTGTATCAAGCTTGAATGTTGTGTCCATATTTGCCCCAACTGTTCAGGGTTCGACCTCTGCGGTCGTATCAAGCTGCGCCCCAGCGGAGCATTTTATTTTTATTTAAAAACATCTTGAAAAGATTTTGGTTGGATATACATGAGTGAAAAATTCAATGAAAAAGTAGAAATTAAGAAATGGATAGATGGATTGATGGATGGCTGTTTATGGATGTTCTTTATCTTGTCAGTCTCTAGAAGGTTTAAAACTATAGACTATAAAGTTAATCCACAACATTCAGATCAAGAGGCCCCCTGGCATCAACTTCAGTGGTATGTTGGTGCTTAAACTTCAATCTAATTTATGAAAACTAGTTTTGTTGCATTTTGAATTGACATTATCTGACAAGTAGCTGGATGCTTTCTTTTGTATGGTTAGGAAACATAAACAAATGTGTGTAGTTGTTTTAACCAATGTGGTATTGTCAATAAATTAGCGTGTATTTTATTTTGTTTTCAAAAATATTGACACATAAATAAAGAACTTTTTTTGTATGAAGTGAATACCAGTTTCAAATTAAACAGGTATAGGTAGTCTTAATGGCTTAATGTTAATAAAGAGTATAGTTAAGACTACAAATTGTTAGTAACATAATAATACAGTATTTAAATTTTCAAGAAAATACAAATTTTATATAGGAAGAGATCAAATTCATTTGGAATATTCTAGTGTGCGGATTTTATTTTTTTGTTGTTGTTTTTGTACATTAATTTTAATTTTTATTTTCATGTATTTGATCTCTTCCTAAATAAAATTTGTATTTTCTTGAAAATTTGAATACTTTATTATTATGTAAGCTGTCATATTTGGCTTGGGGCATTATCTATTACCTTTGTTCTTTTATCCATGATTGTTTTTTATTCCCCCGCTTTAAAAAAGTGGGGATATACTGTTTTACCTCTGTCTGTCCACCTGTCAGTCCATCCATCCGTCAGTCCATCAGTCCATCCGTCCATCAGTCCGTTCCATGAATATTTTTCATCGCATCTTTCTCAGGAACTACAATACAAGGATTTCTGAAATTTGGTTTCAGGGTTTATATAAGTCAGCTGTACCGTGTGATGCGTTTTCATATTCATCACTCAACAACTTCCTGTTTACCGAACACTTGTATCATTTTACACATGATAGCCAAGTTGAAAATTTTCGTCACATTTTTTCAGGAACTACAATACAAAGATTTCTGAAATTTGGTTTCAGGGTTTATATAAGTTAGCTATACCGTGTGATGCGTTTTCAGATTCATCACTCAACAACTTCCTGTTCACCGAAATATTTGGGCAGGGGTATCATCAATGAGCAGTAGCTCGCAGTTTCACTTGTTCTATATGGATCACTAGTGTTGTTTTTTCTATATGGATCATTAGTGTTGTTTTTTCTATATGGATCACTAGTGTTGTTTTTTCTATATGGATCACTAGTGTTGTTTTAACAGTTCAATTGAGGGTAGGTAAACATTCAGGCTTTCTATGTGCATGTAAATTTGCTATTGTATTCATGAAAATATACATTAATTCATGAAAATAAATACAACACGAAAAAAAGTATTTATACAGAAATAAAAAAAGTCTTGCATTTGTTTTTATATTTGCGTTGTTGCAGGTGATGAAAGATTTCCGTGAGGGTGGTTATAACACCTTGGTGTCAACATGTGTTGGTGAAGAAGGTCTAGATATTGGTGATGTAGACCTTATAGTATGTTTTGATGCCCATAAGAGTCCAATACGTCTTGTACAGAGAATGGGAAGAACTGGCAGAAAACGAGAAGGACGTATTGTAATGCTTGTTACAGAAGGCAAAGAAGAACAGGTTATTTGATACTGTTTGTTTTAATTTATTTTGGTTTTTGTGGAAAAGATTGCAATCAAAACCCTTGTGTTACTCATCTCTATCTTATCTAACAAATTGCACTGAGGTGAACATACCAGTGTTCTCCCCAGAAATTTTTTAAGGCGCAAAATTTCAAGGGCGCGTAACTCTATTTCAGAGTGAACTATTGTGACCTGAAGCAATCTGTCATAAATCATTACATGCAATAATGCACAGTATTAATATACATGATAAAGATTATATATATATATGAAATAAATTCATTTTAAACACAAAAAGCATTTATATCACAGTAAATTAAATAAGTCAAAATGTATATTGGGGTATCTATAGAATATTTTGGAAACTTGAGGTTACATGGTTACTAAAGCTTGTACACAGGTTAAAAAAGGGGGAAAATTTGATTGGTTAACTTCCAGTGATGGTTATTTTCTTATATGCAATGAAATATTATGTGAATTTTTTTCTATAGTACTGGACAGGATAAAACTTTACTCATGGCAAGTATTTCTTTATTTGAAACAAAGATAAATTCTGCACAATTTTTTGAAAAGTGCAAATTTAACAAGGACTAATAGGGGAAAATCAATGGTGGTATTACACCTAATATGGGAAGCTGTACATGCACCTTTGACCTTGTGAGTACTCTCATGTGTTAAAATTTCTTGCTATTTAAGTGAAATAATACAAATAATGAAATATTCTGAGTGGATTGAGTCACCAAAACACATTTAATGAGAAAATTTCCTTGAAATAGGACTTTACCATGAATATTAGTTGACAGAACAAGCCATACTTAGAGTTTTGGGGAGCTTTTTCTCCTTATTTCTTATATTCTGCTATACTAGAAAATTTTTCCTAAGAACTACTTTAATAATATATAGTTTTCAGTAAATGAAATTATTTTTAAAGCAGTAACAACAAATTATTCACCAAAAGAGAACCTTTTTATGTCCCTTTCTGGAACGTGGCGTAAATTTAAGTTTTACGTAAGGACTTATTGAAACCTCCTTGGAGACAATAAACTTTTATACGGATAGTTCATTCAGCTTGAATACTGCAATTAATCATTTATTATAACATTTCTATCATAAATGAGTGAAAATTACCCCAAAATTTTTATTTATTGACCTAAAAAGTAGAAATTTTGAGGAAATGAGAGGTATAAATGGACCAAAAACTTTTGCAGTCGTATATTGATATCAGTCGTCATCGTCGTTGTCTTCGTTGTCATTTGCGTCGTCCGAAGACATTTGGTTTCTGGACAATAACTAAAGTATCAGTTAACAGAAATCTATGAAATTTAAACACAAGGTTTATAACCACAAAAGGGGGGTTATTGCTCAAACCGTTTAGGAATTAGGGGCAAAAAAAATAAGAAAAAACAAGGGTGTCCTGGTTAATGGACAATTACTTAAGTGTAATGTTGTGTTTGAATTACCTCCCTTACACTGCTTTTAAATTATGTGTAAAGAAATGTTGTATTGTCTTGAGGTGATTAGCTGTCAATTTATTTTTAGAAGTTACTATTTTAATAATTTTATAAATGCTGATTAAGGTATATTAATTTTAGCCATGATTATGTATGTCATTTTATATTTTAAGTCTTTTATGATGTATTTAAATGGGTTATTATGGTTGCAAACTCCATTGGAAATTTGAATTGTGATTATGACCATATCTTGAGGGAAAGAATTTTTTTGGGGTAAAGGGGGCAGGAAAAAAAAAGGGGGGGGGGATAAAAAAAAATTGGTGGTGGGGGTGGGGACAAGATTTCAGAAATCAAAAAGAAAATTTCTTCAAAAATTTGCAACTGTATAGTGTATTGCACAAAAGCAAAAAAAAGGGGGGTACATTTTAAAAAAAAAAAATTTTTTTTTGGGGGGGGGTCAATTCGCAACAGCATAGTGTTTTGCACAAAAGCAAAAAATTGAATATAAATTCAAATCATATGACCAATTCTAAGTTCTTGGCTACAGTTATTCTTTGTCAGAAACCTATTATGTGTCAAATATTGAATTACAATCCAAATTCAGACCTGTATAAAGTGAGAATATTGTGTCCATTTTTGCCCCAACTGTTCAGGGTTGGACCTCTGCGGTCGTATCCAGCTGCGCTTGGCGAAGCAATTTATTTTAGGAAAAAAAATATAGAGAGATATCTTTATATATATATATATATATAGATCCAGATTAATATGTATTGTTAATTCTTAAAAAAAAAATTTAAAATTACAAGTTTCTAATAAAAATGTTAATTTAAATTTTTAAGGTTTTCTTAAGTACTTGAATGTGAAATTTGAAGTAACTTTGAAGCTTCCATATATTACAGAAGAGTAATGGTAGCATTTTCCAGACTTGTCTTTTGACAAGTCAAAATTGTCAAGTATATTGGACTTCATTCTTGTATGTTTTGACTGCTCTATTAAAAATTTTTTAGAAAGTGTTTAAATAATATCCATCTTTACAGATTTTAACATATAAATATGATGGTTTAAAAAAATTGCCTTTTGCATTTTAATCAAGGGACAAACTTGTACTTTATAGTTAGTATAGTGAAAGGAATAACCTGAGGCTAAGATTATTGTTAATTGTTAGAACAACATATTTACAAATTGTATGTACATTGGTATTGTTTTGAATTTTTATACTTTTTATGAAAACATGTGAAAAAATTGATTGAATTAAATACAAATAAAGAATATTATACATGCTTTAATGATTAGTGAAATATCAAGGATTGATATATATTTCTCATCATGATAAATGTTTAAAAAGTATTAAACAAAAATCAAAGTACCAAGTGCATACTAAATGTAGGAAAAAATAAAATTTACAAGTTGCATCAGAAAAGCACAAAATGTTTGCAATTTCCCAGCAATTATTTAAAATGTAATTCAAAGTAATTGAAAAGTAATTTATAATTACATGACAAAAAGGCGATGTAATTCATTACTTTCAATTGAAAATATGCTCAATTAATACACATTACATTGAATTACTCTCAAAAATGTAATTAATTACAGCTAATTATAATTACATTTTTAATAACCCCAGGTCTGTTTCAGATATAAATTTGATTTATTGTCATTTGAGCATGTTTTGGGTTCCAGCTTGGGCTGCAAACATCGTAAGCATGTTTCTTACTTTAAATCATTTTCTTCTTATTGTGTCTTGATTAGGGGAAATAACTTTCAATCAGTTGTACATCAAAGGGCTTTGAATACCTTATAAAATTCCGACAAGAAGTGATAAAGTGTAAAACAAACAAATAACTAGTTGCCTTCAGACATGGGGTAATTGTAATATGTAATTGTAATTGACTGTTATTAATTACAATTTCTCCAGTAATTGAATGAAATGTGTAATTGAGCATTTTTTTCAATTACAAGTAATTGAAAGTAATGAATTACATAGCCAAAATTGACTGTAATTGACAATTCTTTTTAATTACAACTCAATTTAATTTCAAATTTTGGATCAGAAAGATTGAATCTTGTGTTTTCTCAAAATTGATGAAAAGCCATGACCGTAGTAAATGTAGTTAGCTGACAAAGCAAAGTCTACACAGTATACTTTTTGTAAATACACAACCATGGGAGATTCTTTATTTTGTATTGAATGAACAAAAAAGAAGAAAAAAAGATTGTAGAAACATGCCATAATTTGTGTTAAAAGAAACCTTTAGTTAGTCACTGTCTTATACCTTAATTAGTTTGTTACCTACATGTGTATTCAGATAGATATTGTTAGGCATTGATTTAACATAATAAACTTTAATGGACATAGTCAATTAATAAATATAACCTCTGGCTATTTGTTTTATTATAAACTATATAATGACTTTTTTTACAACAGTTATGTTTGCAGGTTAAACAGATGTTAAGCCAATTAGAGAGATAAATATACCCCTAGGTACATGTAATAAATTCATTATATATCTTTTCCATTTTGTGTATAGTTAATATCTTAGATTTAAATTTGGAAAGATTTGTTTTTTTAAATCAATTAATAGTGAATAAAATTAAAGTATATATTTTTAAAAAGTCAGGCTTTCTAAATCATTTCTTTAGAAAAAAGTTGTGGTCAAAATAAAAAAAATATTTCAAAATATTAAAATTAGGGCTCTCTTTTTGTATCATTTAGGCCCGAAAGGTGCAGACTGGGTGATGGAACATTTGAAAAATTTATGATGTTAAATGGAATGGTAGAATGCTAAAATAAGTAATATGACAAAATACAAAAATGTACATACTAGTATAAGTTGAACACTGTTATATATGTCAGAAACATTATTCTATGTTCTAATTGTTATTACTAGAAAGCAATGTATGATACTTATGTACATATCATAGAATAAATGCATGTTTTCAATATTGTATCTAAACTTTCCTTTGAAAAGTAATTGAAGTTATTAATTACATTTGCCAAGTAATTGGAAAGTAATTAATTATATTGGTAAAAGTTAAATGTAATGTGTAATTTAATTGAAGGTTTTGTAATTGTAATTGATTGTAATTAATTTCTTTCAAAAGTAATTGACCCCATGTCTGGTTGCCTTTGTCCTAGCTTGAGCTCAAAGTTTTAAATAAACACTTAAACCTAGGATGACCAAGCGCGGATTTGACATTTCAAAACATTTTCAATGAATTTTTATCTTTTATTTTATTATTATTCAAACAGAGATCCACAGATTTACGTGTCTGCAACATTTATTTTTTAATTTTTGAAACAGCGATCCACGACTTTACGTATCCCATGAAATGTCTTTTTTTCTCTATCCACAAAAATTATACCCATGAAAATAAATGAAACCACAGTATTGCCTTTTGCTCCATTGCTTAATACATTGCAGCTCACAATGCAAAATGAAAACAATCTTTATCCCTTAGTGCTCACAAGTGCTTTGATTTTTAACTGTCTTTAATTCTTCCATGCTCAACTTTACATTTTAATTGACTGAAAATAAGATATGTGTTACATGGATGTTGTTTGAATATTTACTAGAATAATATACAAAATTTCGTCAATTTTTGTCTTGCCTGCGACGAAAGTCGCGGAAAGCGAGACATAGGGATTGCTTTTCCATCGACGGCTTCAACAGTTGTCAAGTTTTCTGCTTAAGTTAGTTTGATAGGAACTTCTTGCGAGAGATCATTGATGTTTTGTATGAAAATGAATTACTATCAGTACATATCAGTTTGACGACAATTTTGATGCCCTGCCTCCTAGGCCATGGTCCAGTGACTTTGAATTAATTAGCAATTTTAAATGTTGTTTTTTCTGCTTAAGTAAGATTGATAGGAACTACTTGTGATAGATCAATGATATTTTGTATGAAGTTGTATCATTATCAGTACATATCAGTTTGACGACAATTTTGAAGCCCTGCCCCCTAGGCCATGGTCCAGTGACTGATTTAATAAGCCATTTTCAATGTTAAGTTTTCTGCTTAAGTTAGATTGATAGAAACTACTTGTGATTGATCAATGATATTTTGTATGAAGTTGCATTGCTTCAGTACATATCAGTTTGACAAAATTTTGAAGCACTGCCCCCTAGGCCATGGTCCAGTGACTTTGAATTAATTAGCCATTTCCAATGTTAAGTTTTCTGCTTAAGTTAGATTGATAGGAACTACTTGTGATAGATCAATGATATTTTGTATGAAGTTGCATTGCTTCAGTACATATCAGTTTGACAACAATTTTGAAGCCCTGCCCCCTAGGCCATGGTCCAGTGACTTTGAATTAATAAGCCATTTTCAATGTTAAGTTTTCTGCTTTAGTTAGATTGATAGGAACTACTTGTGATGGATCAATGATATTTTGTATGAAGTTGCATTGCTTCAGTACATATCAGTTTGACAAAAATTTTGAAGCCCTGCCCCCTAGGCCATGGTCGAGTAACTTTGAATTAATTAGTCATTTTCAATGTTAAGTTTTCTGCTTAAGTAAAATTGATAGGAACTACTTATGATAGATCAATGAAGTTGCATTACTATAAGACTATTAGTACATATAAGTTTGACGACTATTTTGAAGCCCTGCCCCCTAGACCATGGTTAAGTTTTCTGCTTAAGTTAGATTGATAGGAACTACTGGTGATAGATAAATGATATTTTGTATGAAGTTGCATTGCTTTCAGTATTTTGAGTCCCTGCCCCCTAGGCAATGGTTCAGTGCTTCAATTAATTAGCAATTTTCATTGATAAGATTTTTGCTTAAGTTAGTTTGATAGGAACTACTTGCGATAGATCAATGATATTTTCTATAAAGTTGCATTACTATCAGTACATATAAGTTTGACATCTATTTCAAGGCTCTTTCCCCTGGTCATGGTCCAGTGACTTTCAATCAATTAACAATTTTCAATGTTAAGTTTTCTGATTAAGTTAGTTTGTGAGGAACTACTTACAAGAGACAATATTTTCTATAAAGTTACATTGCTGTCTGTACATCTCAGTTCGTCAACCATTTCGAGGCCCTACCCACTAGTTGGTCCAGCGACTTTGAATTAATTAGCAATGTTGCTGTCCATCAGATTGTCTTTTTCTGAATTCTATGCCGACAGTCTAGACAAATCTCTGTGTCAACAGTTTATTAGTCTATAGATGAAAATTTAACAGATTACATTTGAGATTTTGTGCTATTTGTTGTTTTTAAACTTTTCATTTGTAAAGATATCAATGTGTTTTTTCCAACAACTTTAGGAAGATTTCCTTGACCTGGAAATGAAAGAATAGGTTTCTTTTAACCCTTGAAGTAGGGTGCTTCCTTAATATCATAATTACCTAGTTAATATATTACTTCTTTTGGGCCATTACAATGAATATTTATTCGGGAAATAATGTTATTTTTTTCTATACATGATTTTCCTAAATTTTAGATTTACAATCAGAGTCAGTATTCAAAGAAAAGTATCCATAAAGCTATATTGAATAGTGCCAAGACATTACATTTCTACCAGAATAATCCAGCCATGGTACCAGATGACTGGACACCAAAATGTCATAAAATGTTCATCACTGTTAGTAAGAAATTTAAACCTACCAAGGCAGCGAGTACATCCAACCAGAACAAAATTACCAGCATGCTTGCTTCACATGGTAAGTTACCCAAGCATAATAGAAAGAAATTATCAAACAGGCAAAATAGCTTGCATTACACCACAAATGGTAAATTACTCAAGCATATGCAGTGAAGAGTCATTGTTTGCCCTGAAGCTTTCATACTTAGGCCAACATTTTTTGATTATAGTCAAACCTGCTTAAGAGACTACCTGTATTAAATAAAAACCTGTGCTATAAGACCATTAATTTTAGGTCCATCTGTAGTGCATTTCATATAAATTGAACCTGTATTAGAAGACCCACCTGTCTTATGAGACCACTTTTTTGCTCTCCCTAAAGTGGTCCCTTAAAACAGGTTTCACTGTATCTGTTTTACAATCCTTCAGACCGTATTTTCTGGAAATTTGGAATAAAAGATCAACACTCTACCCTGCTCTCCTTGTCGGAAGCCAAATCTGGTTTCTGATTTTTTTTTCCTCTCCCAGGTATGTTTGCTTGCGTAGCAATGCGCTAGGTACCAATTGAAGCTACTGATGCTGAACTTTAGGAAGGCTCCAGCTGTTTTTTTTTGTAATTAAAATGTGTGATAGGTGGGAAGGGAACTACAAAGATAAGAAACTGCAAACTTTATTGTAATGTTTGGGGTATATCCTCCCAGGTGGCAGATGAATAAGAAACAACATTTTCTGTAGCAAAGTTTTATGCTGATGAGTTGGAAAGGGCAACAAATTCCAAACTGTGGATGCTTGCTTCTACTTCTACTTCTACTTTGTAGTGAACGCCTTCAACACATTAAAGTTTATGTCACTTGAACTACACATGGCTTAGTGGAAACATCTTTACTCTTAAATTAATTTGAGAATTATGAACAAAAACAATTCTAACATTTTTACATATTTCACATTTTTATTTTGTGTTTATATTGAGATAAAAAGAGCTACAAGAGTTCGGGTAAAAAATATCTGAGACTAAGTTATTTATTAATGGAATGACATGACCTGATCATGACTGCCTTGTCCAATTAAGAAACAGATCATGGGATGTGGTTAAAATGCCCTTGGGACAGCAACCCTTTAAACCAACTTTCTGACATCCACATCATCTACAGTGCACTCTTCAGGTTTCTATGCAAATAAACGCAAACTGAATGACAAGTTCCTGTTGTCAAAAAATAAAATGCGATCAATTCTATGCCCCTTTGACTATAATTTTTGTTGCTGCATATCTCGGGTATAAAACCCAAACTAGTTTAAATCGAGATTTGATTTTTGTAAGAGTTGTATTCTTCTTGTTAAATGTTTTAATACATAATTTATACACATAATAGATAAGGGATATGGGGAAGATCCCAATGATACCAGGACCCCTAACAATCTAAAAACTATAAAAAAGAGGAACTGTCCAATCTCCAACATGAAGCATCACCCATTGAAAGGCAAATCTTTTAGTGACCCCTTTTGCTTGTAAAACCTCAAAGCAAACAATTTTGTACAAAACCATCAGTTATGAAACATGCATGTTCCATAATGCCCATAATTGAAGTTGGAAATACCAAGGGCAGTTTTTGATGTACTATGTAAACTTGAGAAGGAGAAGTTTTTATGTAAGTTTACAGTTGCAGATCCAGGATTTCATGTTAAGAGGGGACAATGATAAAAAATTTCGAGTTAAAAATTGGTAATCATGAACTTACAACTTCATCCATATTTCCTGTACTGGTTTGAATCAGGACAGGTCTATAAATCAAAAAGGTATCAAAGGGCGATATTTGTGGTATCAAGCCAGTCTATTTTTTAGTTAATTTATATTGTGCATTGTGTCAATCTGATGAATTAAGCCTTTTTTAACTGAATTTTACTGTTTTGTTCTCATGTTCTGTTGTTACCCCATTGTCTCAGTTTAGGTGAAGGTATGGTGCCAGCAAATATGTTTAACCCTGCCACATACTATATGTGTGTGTCTCAAGTCAGGAGCCTGTAATTCAGTGGTTGTGGTTTGTTGCTGTATTTATATTTGTTTTATGTTTATTGTTTTGTAAATAAATCTGGCCGATGCTTTTCAAGTTAGAAATTTTTTAAACTCATTTGGGGCCCTTTATAGGTTACTCTGCAGCTTGGGCTTTTGCTCTGTGTTGAAGGCTGTACGATAACCTGTACGATAACCTGTAATTGCTCACCTCAACAACATTAGGTCTTTAAGTAGGATGAGAGTTGTCTTATTGGCAATCATACCTCATCTTCTTTGTTTTATACTGAAAGCTCTCTTTATAAAATGCCTTGAAAAAGAATAAAATTTCAAACAAAACAGCTTTTATTTTGATATAGTTTAATAAGGCATGATACTAAAGATTTTTATACATGTAAATCAAGAAGTAAAAACTCATTATTGTGAAGCAAGTTGCTCATAAACTATTACAACAAGAAAAAAATAAATGCAAGAAGGGGATAATGTAATTACAAAATAAAAAATGAAGTGGTTAAAACCACTTTCATTTTTATATTTTGTCGACTCAAACAATTTTATTTTTACCCCCTGGCCCAAATTTAAAAACAGATAGTAAAAAAATGTTGGCCTTAGTAGGATTGGTTATCATTATATGTTGTTGACCACACTATACTGTCAATTTCATCAACATTTTCTGCTGGAGATAAGTGACTTTGACTATCTTAGACCAATTGCAGTATACTATTAACTTTTCCACAGAAAACAGATATGGGGGACATTTTGCAACAGTGTAGTAATCTTCTTAAGATATATAGCACAGTTGTTTTTTTTATTAATAATAATAGTCTTTTATTGCTTGTGACAAACAAAATACAAATTACATTCAATTCTTTATTACTTTGAACAGTATAGTATGCATAAATATACAATTTACAAGTTGTATAGCGTTAACAAAAAAAAAGATAGATAATAAACGTCAGAATTATCAGTCACATGGTTAACAGTTTGTGAGTTTCAAAATACATGTAATATGAATATGTCTTAAATATTTTTTCTGCACTTAAATGCATAAAATAAGTTCTTTCCAAAATTACAAAGTTCCTCAGTGTTTTCAACAGAAAGTAATTGTAATAACCTATAAGTTGTAGGTCTAGACCAATATTATTTCTTGATAAACTTCTTATGTATATCAGTATATTTTTTAAAATTGTAAAATAAAATGAAATTCATCCTCTACTACATTTAGATCACGCATAATGCACATTCTACTATTTCTACTAATTCCATAAAAACGACCAGTTTCAATACATAGATTGTGTAAGGACAGACAAATTTTCGTTACCCATTTACGAGACATTAGAGAAATACATTTTCGTTAATAAAATTGTAATTCTACATTCGACACAACATACTTATATATTCTACACTTTGGTGATGCTTCAAGCATAAAATGTAACTCTTGGCTTAGCTTGGTCATATAACCGTTGTTTGGTTAATTGTAAAAATGAACTATCCAAATAAATTAACCATTGGTTGTCCCAATAATCATTCATACGAAGATCATATAACAGTTTTTTAATACAATTTACCCAGTTTTGCATTTATAACTATTGGCTACTAATTTTTTGTAGCACAACTTCATAATACAATTTTCACTACCATGAATTTTAAACCATAATTTGAACATCCTAAAATTTCACTCAGATATCAATGGAAGTCTTCCTAATTCATGATATACCATTACATCAGCAGTCAACATTTTGACCCCTAGTAATGTTTTAATAGTCTTAAGTGAACTTTTTCTACATTTTGTGCTCTATGAACACCTCATACATTAAAATACTACATACCTAAGTGTCAAATAAACTAATAGAAGTAACAGTGTTCAGGGATAAGGATGATGCAGTTTTTACTTGTTTTTGAATAAAAAGAAATCTGTGATTATGCAAATGTGATCAATCAGGGGAGATGATTTCATAGAATATATTTGAAATCTGCCAAAATTTACACTGTTTTGTGAATAGTAATAATCCAAAAATAGTTTTAACAAGTGTACACGTATTTGTGAATTAATGTATTGTTTAGTCACAAGTTGAATATTTTTCTTTATTTGAATTCTTCGATTAGTTATTCTTTTGATTACATTGGACATGGGCTTTTTAATGGAAATAACTTTTTTTAGAATTTAAGTCACTATATCTTGTTCTAGGCATTCCTTATTCATTATGATGCAACATCATTGATAATGTCTTGACAACACACATTGTTGTATTACGTCAGAGGAGTGAAATTGTCTGATTTATTTCACTTGTGAAATTATCAGTTATTATTTCACTGGGAAATTATGATATTTCATTTCAACCAATGTAATAAAATCATATCCTCTTTTCCTGCATTAGAAAAGTAATATAATGAAATATACAGTTATCAAGCTAAACATGAAAACATTACGAAACAAAACTTGTCTAACCCCAATGCTATGTCTTTGTAGAAGATGGTAATTTCATCAAATGTAGAGACCTTCTCCTTTCTCCCTTTTCTGTACAAAATCTTTGCAATATGCTTCAGACATCCTTTGATTTCCTTATCATCTTTATAAAAGTAGCAGTTGATGATATTGAACAACAATATGACAGCACTTGCTATGAACACTAACACAATGAAGACAATCAAAAATGATATGGGATTTGAAGTAGCTGGTATTTTATCAGACGCCAGTGTCAAGAAGATGACAAATGAAAGCAATACTGTCATTCCATATGATATTCTTTCACCAGAGTTATGTGGAAGCAGAAAGACCAGTGGATTCAATAATGATAATACAGCTATCGGTGTAAATACCAGGATATTATAATAAAGTGGTTCACGTTTGATATTCAGAATAACTGCCAAAGATATATTTCCTTGTTTATCAGGTTTTACTTCCCAACTTTGTACCATCCAATCTGGGCTTTTAGTTTCGTGGATGTCACTGTATGGCTTAGATACTGGTTGAAGATATATCTTCCAACTTGGTTCCCATACAAAATATTTTAATGAACATTGTTGTTCATCAAATGGAAATTTTCTGATATTAGCTGCACATTTGGAAT